ATAAAATTGAAAAAATTAAAGAATATATATAATTTCTGAGACACTAAATAGTAAAGTTAAATTTTCTATACCATTTCAAGTAAATAGATACATGATGTATTGTGTGTACACAAAGGGAAAAAAGTATAAAATAGCATGTATGTGTGTTGAGCTAGATTTATGTCATCAGAATTGCTGAAGATTAAGTTATCTATGTTTTGGAATACATTAGTAATATTCTGATTCAGTGATTCAGTTCAAAGCACATGTTCATCACCACCACACAAATATGGCAAAAAAAAAAAAAAGGATGGCAGGTAAGCCCAGCATTGTAAGATCTGTATATGAAATTTCTAAGTAAACTCCTGTATTCCTAATAAAAATATAGGTGGTCTATTTTCCCTGAACTTTATTTTATCCTTTCTACTAACCTTCAACCGCTATGAAGGAAAGCAAGATTATAATGTTTTGCATCTTGTAATGTTTAATCCATTGAACTGCTTAGCAAAAATGAACATATTTGAGTTATTTCTTTACTTCACAAAACTAAAATGCTTTCCAACCTAGAAATGTGTAACAAGCACATGGAATATATCTAGGATTAATTCAGCCACACATTAAATTTTACTTCAAGGCTTGAAATAATGCTGGCATTTAATATAATATAGTATTATAAATTTATTATGATGGCTAAGTTACTCCATGAACCATAAGCACTATAATGCCCAGTGAACTTACATTTTTATCTTGAGCAGTCTACAGAAATCACAAAGTAAATCTTTTAAATTTTCATAATGTAGTTCCTCTTTAGATGCTGGTCAATTTATATACAGTATCTTAGTGGTATTCAGTCTGGGCTTCTAAGTTTAATTAATCAAAATTAGCAATTAACAATGATATCTATTTGGTATATGCTCTAAATTAAAAAGGAAAAAAAACAACTCATGATACTGTCATCCTGTGGAAGAGTGTGGAACCTGGATTCCTTGTGAATAGAGATTCTAAAACCTATGTATAGGAGAATGAAAATTCTTAGAAAAATTGTTTTTTTAATACCTAGTTAGGATAGTTAAGAGACTACAAGGATTTTTATTTCTAAATGCAGTTTTATGATTCCCTTAAAGAATGTACCTGAACTCCCGGACACTACTGAACATTCTAGAACTGACCTGTCTCGTGATTTAGCAGCCCTGCATGAGATTTGTGTAGCTCATTCAGATGAACTGAGAACACTCAGTAATGAGCGTGGTGCACAACAGGTAGGTTTTACTAAACAGATGCTACATATAAAACTGGCAAGTGAGTTATTGTCAGTCGTGAGGCATGTTATTCCCTCAGCTACTCTCATACCAAGTACATGAGCAAAGTTACTTGTGAAACACAGGAGAACTATAAGGGAAATTTGAAAGTATCTACAGATGATACCTTATTAGTGATTAAGTTGGTGTGGATCACAGCTCACACCTTAAAAAACATATAGATTTCATGCGGTCCATACCAATAGATGTAGGGGTGTTAAGAGAAGCTTTTCTTGAGAGGAGCCTTCCCGCCCGCCTGGTTCCAGATCCGCATCAGTCCCAAATAAACACACAGGAGGCTATATTAATTATGAAGCTGTTGGCCTTGCTTGTCTCTTACTGGCTAGCTCTGCCTTAAGTAATTACCCCATAATTGTTAATCTAAGTATGTCTCTTACCGGAGAGGTATCCGGCTTCCTACCCCAATGGCGTTACATCTCGAACTCTCCTGTGTTTCTCCTTCCCAGCATCCTCCTGGATTCCTAGCCCCACCTATCTAGATTCCTATTGGCCAGACAGTGCTTTATTAGCATAAGACTTCCCCAACATCTCCTCTTTTCTGTTTAAACAAAAAGAAAGGTCTTAACTTTAACACAGTCAAATTGTGTATAACAGAACAGTTATCAAATAAGAATGTAGTTACAATATTTTAGCAAGATTTAAAGAAAATATCATCCATCCCATCCTTGTGAGTCCAAAGTTCTATATGTATCTTTTATCATAACTAAGGAAAACTATAATTATAACTATCTATCTTCAACTCTGTTAAGAGAAGCTTGAGAAGGAGCCGTGTTTTTCGTTAAATGTTTCAACATTATGTTCCAATTTTTCAATTCTATCTGTGGAACACATTTTTCCTGAAAGTAATTCAATTTTGTGTTCCGTCTCTTTAAACCTGTTCGTCAGACCTACATTATCATTTTTAATATCCTGATATTTTCTACCAACCCTTTCTTACTCTCCTGCAATGAATTTTGCATTTCCTGAATCCTTTGTATTAAGATTTCAAAACTATCCTGCGATGACTGTATGACCTGCATAAGTTTAGTCCTATTTTTGAGCCATTTCATTAACAAAATTATATTGATTATGAAGCTAATAATCACCATCGTGGGTAGGAAGTACCTTTCAGTCTTATATCATAGGGGGGTATATTTAAATAAGGAATAGAACTGGAAAGGGTTTTTAATTGACCTAGTGTTAAGTCATTGTAGATAGTTTTTTGGCTAAGGAAGTTAAATAGGGAGAAAAGGCATGGGGGAAGTATAAATCAATATACCCACATCCTAAATCTGGTTCATTTCTTCATGGTTTCAACTATCACTCCACTGCTGTCCGTTTTGGCAGAAATTTCACAAAAAAAAAGTGACTATGAAGGCACTTCTACAATCTTAACATAGTCTAAATAATAGAGTTCCAATTGGAAAACGTTAGAGTAGTTTATTAACAAGGTTTACAATGACAAATTTAGTGTGGTAAGATCTTTTCTCTCTGGTTTACTACTCAGTTTAACTCACGTTTTAGTAATGAGTATAATGCTGTTGCCTTAAGAACCCCATTGCTTTTATGTACATCCAAATTTCCATCTTGAAATTTTCGATTCTTTGTTTAGTGATTTTTCACCCCCCATTGTTTTTCCTTGTGTCTAGCATGTACTGAAAAAGCTTTTGGCTATAACAGAACTGCTTCAACAAAAACAAAACCAGTATACAAAAACCAATGATGTCAGGTAGCAGCCTGGTGTTCTACATGGATTCAGCATGCGCAACATGGTAATTCATATCACTATGTCTTCTTTGCTCTTGCCAAAAAAAGGAGAGAGAGAGAGAAATAGCACACCTTCCCACATTCCAGTGATGTGTGAGCTATGCAAACAAAAGCCCAAGATTCTGCTGGCGCTGCCAGCACCTTTGTAAGCTATCTGTGCAGAATATTTGCACTTTTTCCACATGGGATCTTTACCAAACTCTGAGCCTTGGTGTACAGATCAACTTTCACAAAAAAAGGAAAATGGAAAAAAAAAATTAAGTCTTGAACTTTGAAAATATATTTTCAGTATATCCATTTGCCAAAGTTTTGCTGTCTCTTGGAAGAGGAACTATCAAATCTACTGACAAGAAAATGCATCCTATTGGACAACGGAATTTTTAACTGGATTGCAGACTCTTCTTCCTTGTTAAGAATATGACCATTTGACTGTTCACTGAATTTATTTGTATTTACAGTTTCCAGAGTTTGACAATATAATAGGAACAATCTTGCTGTATACCTTTAAAAAATACTGTGCTATTCTTCCTGGAACTGTTAAAAGACAACATATAGAATGGATGAATCTATGCTCATCAGCTTTATTTTTTAAACATACCACCTATTTTGTTGGAATTGTCAAGACTGTACTTAGATCTCATGGTTTCGTTAAAATGTTTACAACAGTAAATAGTTTAAATTCAATAAACATTATCGGTCATTGTACCAGTCAATGCATGTTACCCATCTGACCATTTTATAGGTTACAGATGTCTGTCATGTTTAAACAAACTGCTAAACTACTCATGCTTATTCTAAGGTGACTTTTGTTACTGCTTTGATTATACAGACAACCTCATCAGCCACTTAACAGCTTATACATCTTTCAACTTGTGTTTGTTTTTTCTGATGGATATTTAGTTTGTATAGTTTCATCTGTTCCTGTGTTTGTGTTTTTGTGAAGTATTCACAAGGGTTAAGTTAAAATAAACTGAGGGATAGCTTGCATAATTAACCAGCTTACTATTTAATTTCACTATAATTTTCTTCTGCTTTTAGGGAGAGTTGAAGCCTTAGTAACAGAACAAGGCCCAGGAAAACTTTTATTGATTGTTTCTTTCACAGAGGACTTCATTTATTCACTCAATGTACAACTTGTTAAGCACCATGTCTTGTGCTGAAGACTTAAACAGTATGTAGCAGAGTATCCTTAGTAAAATAAAAACTACCAAGGTATTAATAAAAATAACTATCAAGGAAACTATTAATAAAACATTCCCTCAATAAAAATCTTTTTTTGAAGGCCTAGATTCCAAAACTATTTGATTGCATTCCTCAGAGATAGTGTATACAGTGAAAGATGTGAGGTAGTCAAAAGTTTAGTTCCCTTTGCTGAGGAACAAACGGAAGAGGCCTCAATGTATTCTTTAGAAAGGTGTTTGATATTACCATTGAGAGAGTTCCCTAGCTTAAATTGTGGCTGACTGCAGCCATAAAGGTAATTTACTGTCCTTACATAGCTTCAGTCAGGTTAACTGCTGTAACAAAAAGCAAAACAAAAACCATGCTTCTTGGGTTTGTTGAATTCTCTTTCTCTCTAACCCATAACAGTTCCTGTTCTTATTGGCTATGCAATGACAGTAACTCATCTCATTTCCTTAGCTTACAAGGTGAAAGGGCTACAGACTGGTTAATGTAGGTAAGGACTTTCAAAATTCGGCCAAGGTCCAAACTCTAGTGTAAGGCATTTTAGTTGATCCTCACCAATTGTACTTGTTCAGCCATGATGGCCTATCTGCCATTCCTTGGCTTGACATGCTTCTCCTTTTTTACCATTTATTTTAAAAGAATCCTCGTTTTTGTGTTTTTGTGTTTTACTGACATGTTTGTCTTAAATTAGAGTGGTAAACTTGTTACTTACCTTTATGGGCCCTGCAGTAGCTAGGTGGTTAGTGGTGAAATAAATAAAATCTTTCAAACTTTTTTTTTTTTAATGGGGTTAGGTAGAAAATTTTCAGAGGTACATGTGGACTTTGCTCTGATGCTAAACTTCAGTGATCTGAAAGAGAAACAGGAGACACACTGTGACCATTAGTTTACAGTCTATCATGCTGCTTTAACTTGAACTATAGTTGGGCATATAAGCTTTGGTTTTTATTCTATTATAAAGCATTGCACTTCATCAATTTTATTCCAGAACAAAAATGAAAACAACCAGAAACTCAAGCCATAAAAGTAACTACTAGAGATGAACATGAACATAAATACCACATTTTAAGATAAACTAAAATGCTACCTACCCTCCTGGGAAGTGTATCGTGGAATATGTAAAGCTGGGTAGATTTACATTTGAGGTAGTTCAGTTTCTCAGAATTCTTCAGGCCAGTTTGGGGGGGGGAGGGTGATCCAAAAAAACAAAACACTTGCCTAATAATATACACCTATCTGCAATTTGGTCCTAACTGTAATATCTACCACTTACTACATTAAGACAGTATTAATGCACAACAAATACATACTAGCATGCATAGCCCTGCTGTGAATAATCCTACCAGGAGTATGCATCACCCTTTTCCCCATTCTCTACTTGGGAAAGTAGCACACTGAGGTATAATTTACTAAAGTCATAGAGAAATCCAGGCATACCTAAATAATTTAATGTAATTAAATTATTTCATTTTTAAACTTTTGAATGTATCTCATCTACAAATTCCTAGTGACCATAATGCCTATTTTATATAGACTCACTTAGATATGATCATTTAATGATAAAAGTGAGTATATAATTTGCTATCACTTATTTGTAGTAATTTAAGATTTTTATCTAGACTCAAAAAGTTTATTTAAACCCAGATGTCAGTGACTCCTTAGAATAAGAGTGCCTAAGCACTAAACAGCTGCCCAATACACTCTACAGGCAGTAGTAATTCACAATTAGTTCAGTCTATTGAGCAAACATTTTGAAAAGCCATTTGTAAGACCTTCTGGAGAATGAACTCTATTTCCTTATCACTTCCAAAGTTTACCTATTAACTAAGGTTTGTTTTCTGCATTTCTTCTAAATGGGTAGGTTTGTTTAATCACATTTTGTTCAAAACAGTATAAAGAAGTACACCACAGTTAGACTTTGGCCATCGTAGGACAGAATTTGCTACTAATCTTAGTGAGTTACGAATATCCAAAGTAGGTAGTATTCAGCCTCTTTTCAAGTTATATAGAAAGCATCACAAGAAAAAATATAATTAAGTTTAATATATTTTTGATGTTTTCACATTGTACTACTTTAAAGAAAGTTAAATGCCAGACATGCTTCCTACTTCTGTTGCTTACACTGCCGTAGTCACTTCAAATGGTTAGAGAGAATCTACCAGGTCATCATCAGTCCATTCCTCCTAAGGGAAAAAAGGAGTAAGGGTAACGTTGAAGCAGGGAGCCAGTTCGTTTTTGTTTTTTTTTTTTTTTTACTCTTTAAGAAAATGCTGATTGACAACAGTCTACTATAGATTTGTTTTTCTGACATGTCTCCAGTGGCTGCAGCCAACCTTGGATTCTCCTGCCTCCCAAGTACTAGGACTACAGCTGTGGACTAAGTCCAGCACTTGACTGTGACTACAGGGACTCAACTGCCCACTGTATGCAGGAGTATATAAAGGCTCCCCTTGCCTCTACTTATCTTTGACTTAGAGACAATTTTAAAAAGTAGCACAAGGCAAGGGAGAATCCTTGGAGAATAAGAGACTGAATTTAACACCACCGCCTTCTCACATAGGAAGGATTCTTCAAGTTTTAAGAATATTGTAGTGTTAAAAAACAAAAGGAAACCCAAATCCGTTATGTGTTGACGAGGTACTCTGCATCCTGGTCAGCACCATGTAACAAGCAGCTGCCCCACATGCTCCTGCCCTCTGCCATGCTCACCCCCTGTAGTGGACTCTAACCACTCTGAACTGTTACAGATTGTTTTTTAAATTCAGACTCTGTATAAGAGGTGAGTAAAAAATAGGAATTTCAAACTTCAGAGGTACTTTACTTGTAGTCCCAGCCCTTGGAGGACTGAGGATTGGGAGTTCAAAGGCAATCTGGGCTATGTAGCAGAACACTGTTTAGAATATTCATGTCCCTACCTGTCTACAGTGCTTACAGTGCTCCAAAACAGTGCATCTTAACTTAGCTCATGGCAGAAAATGTAAAATAAATTATATAAAATTTACCTCTTCTTGTCTGGGTTTCTTTGATACATAGTCATCATCTTCATAGCCTTTCCTCTTCTTCCTATAATTAAGCAATTAGCAATTTGCAAAACTGATAGTAGCAACAAAACTATTAAAATAGGAACTAGCAAGGCTCTGTGAGCCACACCCAATGCAGTAGCTCCCAGCTACAATGCTGATACTCAGAGTGTGGCAACAGTAATGCCTTAAGTTCAGGCTAGCGCCGGTTAACACAATGAGACCCTATCTTCAAAAACAAAAGAAACATGTTTGCTGAAGAATAGAGACTAAACAAGGGATTATTTGTGACTACAAAAGCAATACTTAATCCAGTGTAGCAAGAACCTGCAAAGATTGTGAAAAGAGGCTAAGTATGGATATAAAACTCTACTAGTGACTGATGAGGTTTTGCGAAAATCCTGGGCTACTCAGTGATACCTTGTCTCAAGTAAACATTGCAAAGAGACTCCAGAAGAAAAGGTTGGAAGACCTTGTTTTCGTTATCTTAATGGCATACTAAAATGGAGCCCAACTGTGGTACACATCTGCAATGTCAATACTTGGGTGGGTGAAGCAGGAAGATTGAGTGTTGGAGACCCACTAGATCTTATAACAAGACCCTCCTAGGAACAATAAAAGGGCACACTATAAAAGCTATGGCTATTAAGAGTATGGTATCATATAAATCAGTGAATAAAGTAGACAGGCAAAAAGTGGCTTCAAAAATCTGGTGTTTAAACAACAAGCCAGAAAACTGTTCCTCTCACCCAAATGGAAAAGAGGACCTGGCGTCCTCTGCCCCACACACAGGCACCCACTTACTTCTGAACTGAAATACAACAAATAAATAAATAAATGGGATTTAAGCACTACGCCTTTAAATTTAATCTGTGATAAAAAAATTGTCATCTAAGAAAACCATGAAATATTAAAAAGCAAACTAGACAAAACTACTAATATTGGAGGGAGGACCTTATCCCTTATAAGCATTCTTTATTTTAAAAAAAGTATTAAGGTAAAATAAGAAAAATTTTTAAAGATGAGAACATAGAAAGCTTTATAAGAATAAAATACCTGAACCCATGTAGAAAAAAAGAAATTCAAATGGCTATCAAACCTAGAAACATAATATTCATAATTGGGAAATAGAAATGATCAAGGCAATACTTTTTTTCACTCAGACTGGCAAGAGTAAAAGATTGGTAATGTTAAGTGCATGCTTTGGATACACTGACACAAATTTTTCATGCATTTATCCAAGAAAGGGTTGGCAGAGGGTAGACCCATTTGCTAAGTTACTTCTGAGGCCAGGGTTGAGATAAGCAGTTACATAAAAGGGAACTTTGGTTTTTCTCAATGAGTGACTTAACAAGAATACAGTTACTGTATTATGAAAAAATAAAGGCAAAAGTTTTAATGACCAAGGAAAACAGATGCTCTGTGCTGAAATAGTGCTATTTAGTGTTGCTCTTGACCTATTTCCAGCCTGCACTGAGATGGCGAACAGACACTGTGTACTTACAGCAATTTGATAGACTAGTTTGATCATGGAATCAAATAAAACTGTAACTTACATTTTTAAAGTCTATTTTACTTTGTAGAAACTTTGGCTATATTTTATAAAAAATCTGTGATTTTTTTAAAGTCCTTCGTATACAAAGAAATATTCAAGACATTTCACAAAAATGTAGAATTCTTTTGGCAGAGGGCAAAGCAAATGGCAACTTGGAATAAAATGTAAATTCTGTCAATTAGGAATTTTGGAATATGACCCATTCCATTATTAGCTAGAACAGAATTAACAGATGAATGGTCCATAAGTACTTCAGGGTTTACAGGCCACACATGTTGGGAGTACCCTGCTAAACTCAGGCTGTAGTCCACCATGTCCAGATAGCTCTCTGGGCTCGCTGCAAAATGGAGGACTCCCTTTCCCTGGATAGTCTCTAGGCTTGGAGGCCTGACCTTACCTAGAAATTGTCCCTAAGCCTGGATGCCTGACCTATCGTCAAGGATGACCTTTGACATAGATTCCGGCAGATACTCTCCTTACACTGCCCGTATGATAACTAGGTATCAAGCTGAATGACAGGAGCCTACTGCCAAATGCAAATGAGGTGATGCCCCAGCTGCTATTACCATCCTATCTATCTCTCTTATTCTGGAATAAAGGTGAGCTGTAACACTGAAGCAGTGTCCCTGAGGCAATTTCTATTCATGTTCACAGCCATCCAAACCCTGCTCCCCACTTCCCTCCTCCCTTGTGGACTGGTGGTCAAGGATCCCCGAGGAGAAGGAAGATCCACACATAGTTTCTGCCACAGCCACTTTTCTGCCACAGAATGAAAAACAAATAATGGGCGCTCTATGTTCTCATAACTCTGCCTCTAGGAAAAAAACAGGTGTGGGCTAAATTGGTGGGTACTGAGCCTCATTTGCACATTTCAAAATCAATTTAAGAGCACAATTAAGTGCTACAGGACTTTTATTCACAGTAGATCAACTTTTCTCTACAGCTGTTATTGGTTACTACTGAACCCTACCAATTTCAAGATTTACACGAAGCCATGCTTTGAAGCCACAACAGTCCTGTAATTTGCACTTTGTACAGCTGTTGAATAGTTAGTCCTCTACTACAATTAAGTCATGGCTGCCTTGTGCTGAAGGCCTTGGCATGCTCTTCAGCTTTTCGTAGTATTTGTTAGTTACTCACTAATCACAGATATCAAAATATCACCCCCCCCCACACACTTATATGCCAAAGCTAATTCCCATTACATGGTAATAGACAATAGAACTTTGGAGTCAGTCCACATAAAACATTCTTTTACTTGCATTATTCCTATGACATGCTTAAAAAGAATTAAATTTTGGTGGAGCATAATACAGATTTTATGGTGAATTCCACATTAGCCTATAAATTAAGAAACATTAAGTATGTAAGTATGATCTTAAACATACACAAAGAAACCTAAGAGCACATTTTATTGATTCCTCAAATTGAAACGAGCCAAGTTTCTTCTCTAGTTTATAAAAATTACGTTTAAAACAGTATACTTGTTGCTCAGGTTGGTAAAGAAAGTTTAAGGATCCCATAGGAAGACTGATTTCCCAGTAATTCCATGAAGTGGAAAAACAAGCCAGTTTACATGGTAATGATCAGAATCAGAACTGTAGCATTAAAGCCACACATTTCTTCCTTCACTAGAAATGTACACATAGGCCAGGCTGGCAATGTGAGACACGTAGAGCACTTGCTTATGGACAAGGCTCTGGGGTCAAGTCCTAACACAAGCAAAACTAGTATACTTAATTGAAGGAAAGACAAAAATTTAGGTTCTAAGATATCAAACTTTGTACCAATAAAATAATTTAAACGAGTTGAACTCGATGACTTTGTGAACATACTTTTGTGTCATGCCTACTTACGTAACCACATTAAGCGCAAGGTCAGCAGAATGACATCGTTCCAACTTCTGTTTCAGAACAGCAACTTCTTCAGACCTGGGTGGCTCATACTTTTTTACTAGGTTTCTCATGCCTACATGGAGATACAAAAGTATTTAATAATGTCTGCTTTCAGCTGGGTATGGTGGTGCACACCTGCATCTCTGTACTCGGGAGGCAGAGGCAGGCAGATCTCTTGAGTTTGAAGCCACCCTGGTCTACAGAGCAGGTTCCAGGACAGATAGAGCTACACCTGTCTCAAAAAATCAAAAAGATAGTCTTTTCACATAAAGAAAGCAAATAATCTAACTTGCTTTAGGAAACAGACATTGGTGATGCTATACATACCTACCAGGATTTGTATTCTATATTAAAATCAAGAAGCACCAGCCTTTTAAGTTCAAGTAACAGGTATCTGCTGTTAATCTCATTATATATGGCATAAATATAAGCATACTGTATAATATAGGTAGTATTTTTGTAAGTACCTCCATGTTTACATTTCACTCAACTTAAGTATTGTGAAGTAACCCCTGTGATTTAGTATTCTTATTCTCTAACACCAACCATATTCATTAAGAGATGGTGACCCAAAAATATACCTCTTGTTTACCAAAAAAATTAACATAAAAAGGGGATGCTTCTGCAACAAAACATAGTTTCTATAAAAAAGCTATAGATCAGTAATTGTAAGATAATAAACTATGTTCTAACTTATGTTGTTATTCAACATAATAAAGCAAATAAATTTAAGATTTACTAGGGACATGATTAATAAATCCAGGGACTTATGGTCATGTGTTTCAGACTGGTAGCTAAACTGGAAATTGGTACTTATGATTCAACATATTAAAGCTGAGTATTTGCTGAAGCACTATCTTTGTGTCATATTTATTAAAAGTGGAACAAAATAAAGATAATGAGAAACCGGTAATTAAACGTTAAGCTTCAATAAGCAGCATGTTATCCTTATGAACCTTCACTAAATTGTTATGAATTCCTATCTATTGCCAAATCACAATTAGCTTTGGAAGTGAACCCTCTAGTGGTAAATATGAAAATCTACAATTTATGCCAAGAAGAAAAAAAAAAAACCTGCTCCACTATGCTCGGAGGAAATCCAAAATCACTTCAAGCAAATAATCACATCGTGGCATGAGAACTACATACCTTGAATCCCAGTTTTTAAAATAAACATTAAAATATATACACACTGCACATTTACTGTCACCTAAATAAAGGTCTGCAATCCTGTATTTTATTCGTTTACTCACCTTTACCTCTAAAGTACATCTCAGTAGCTATGAACACAATTGCCAAGACAATTGGTGAAGAACAGAGTGTGGTGGCATACCCTACAATCTCAGCACTCAGGAAACTGAGGCAAGAGATTCCAACTTAAATCCAGCCTAGGCTACATTGTCAAAAACAAATGTTAGTGATATATATACCATACATGTGGATGTTTGTGTGTATTATGTGCCAATCAGCTAAGCAGGTATTTTAATCAGAATTTCTACAGACAATTTCGCAACACCAACACTAGTAAATTTAAGTTTCCCAAGGCTACTATTAAAATTATCATTAAGTTGGTGTTTTAAAGCAACCAATTGTATTTTCTCACACTTCAGAGGCCAGGAATCTGAAATTTGTTTCCTTGAGCCAAAATCTGTCTGGAGGCTTTAATGAAAATCCATTTTGCCTGTTCATTTCTGGTGACTGCCAACATTCTTTTGTTTTTGTGCTTTTTGTTAGATCACTCCAAATTTTAAGGCCAAGATTGCACATCTGTTTTGCTGTTATGCCATTGTTATTATGAATATCTCAAATTTCTCTCTGCCTTTTGTAACTTGTGACTACATGTACTTGTCACTTCAATAACTCAAGTCACCATCACCGTCTTTTGATGAACTAACCTGCACAACTCCAACTCTTGTGGACTAAGGTAACAGACACAGGTTCCACAGATAGGATACGGACTTCCTTTCAGGGGCCAATTTTTAGCAGCATTCTTCATGGTTTTTGTTGTGGTAGTTGTTTTTGTTTTGTTTTGTTGGTTTTTTTTTTTTTTGTCTTTTGGGTTTTGTTTTGGTGGTAGGGTCTGAACTAAGAATTGGAATGTGCTAGACAAGAGCTTTACTACCAATTCCTAATCTAGGCCCAACTGACAAGCTACATTTTTATCAAGCTCCAAGCTGTAACAGTCAATATGTCTTCTGAAATTGACACTTCATCCCAATCAACCCCACCTGAAAATTATTGGCTTTGTATTAGTAACAAAATGACCAGGAAATGACATATATTAACTAGTTAAAATTATTTACAAAACAAAGGTTTCCAATGTAAACCTTACCCTGAAGTTAGTTCTCTTGGGTCTACCTGTCTATTACATTAAACTTTGTTTTGAATCAGCCTTGTCTAAATCTGATATCCATATTCTCTTTCTACACATACAAAGTATTTCCATATATCTTTTATTTATTCTTACCAATGTATCTTCAATGCATCACAACACAGTAATTCAATAAACAACACTGCACATTAAATACCAAAACATTTATTCAGAAGCAGCTTTATTAATAGCACTTACTTTTCATTATATCCAGTAACTGTGACAGGCAAGTTCTATTTTCTCTCAGCATTAGACTCTCTGATAAATAGCTATTGAAGAAAAAAAAAACCATCTTAACTCATCGAAAACACAGCACATTGAAAAGACAAGGCATAAATTATTTATTTCCATGTTTATTTCATCAAGTACAGTTTTTAAATTACTTATTTAAATATGACACAGTATTAGAAAACTCCACAATACTAAAACCTATAGCAACTACAGTCTTAAAGATTTAGTACCATTTTTGCTATTTAAGAGATGTGTACTGTTTCAAGTTTATTTAAATTTTATTAAAAATAACCTTTCAGAGATAAGTACTGAGCTGAACTCAAGAAAGCCAGTAACAGAGAGGGAGGACTGATGATCAAAGGGATTAAGACTGGGCTGGTTTAACCCCCCAGAAACAGCTGACCAGACAAAGGTTAACTCTTGAATCCCAGGCATCAGCCTGGGAATCCAGCATGGGACTGATCAAGACCCCCTGAATCTGGGTGTCAGTGAGGAGGCCTAGGGAATCTATTGAGCCTTGGGCAGCAGATCAGTACCCATCCAAAGTATACACACGGACTTTGGACTCCCATAGAACAATGTGAGGTGCACTCTCACCCTGAACTCTTGGGGAAGGGTCTAGGCCCTGCCCTATATGAAATGACAGACTATGGACACCCCGATGGAGGGCCTCACCCTCCCTGGGGGAATGAGGGGATAACGGGGGGGGGTTGAGGGGAGGGCACGGGAGGAGGGGAGGGAAAGGGAGAGGGACCTGGAACTGACTTGTGAAGCAACCTTGTTTCTTATGTTTCTTATCTAAATTTAAACTGGAAAAAAAAAAACTAAAAAAAAACTTAAGAGACATTTCAAAAAAAAAAAGTCCTAACAACCAATATTTATCATTTTATATTAATATTTGATATAGATATTACATAAACCTAACTTTATATGATTCATGGAGAGTCTGAGCTGTAGAAGGGTTAAGCACAAATGTAGAAGATAAGGAATACCGCACCAGTTAGTTTTCCCTCAGTAGCAACGTCATTCTGCCTATACCTGTACTTGAGCATTTACCAATAAGACATCATCTCATGCTTTGCAAATGTGTTAACACTGCTCTATGAACATCTTATAATTACACTTTGTCTACATTTTAGTTCCTCTGAAATTTTATATACCAAGACATGGTGCATAGGTGCTACAACCCCAAATGAAGATTCTTAGACCCTAGGTCTTTCAAACAAATTAGTTACAAAAAGTAACTTTTCTCCCAGGTAAATTAGTTCTAAATGAACAGTTTTAAGAACTGTTGTTGCTGTCCTTAAAACTACTTATATTAAAACTATATGCTTATATTAAACCATACAGAAAATGTTGATTACTCCGTTACATATTAACTAGTCTCTTTCCCATCTTGTTACACCTTTGCCACCTTCCTTACAGTATTTTATTCATTTGTAAACCTTTTTGACCAATTAGATTTAGAACGCAATTAGAACTCAGCATAACTGTTGAGGATGGCCTTTAACTCTTGACATTCCTGTTTTCATCTTCTATGCGCTTGAATTATAGATATGCTATCTCTCACAGATGCTCCACACCTAAACTCTAGACAAGCCAGCTATTCACATGGATGTCTTTCCTACTTAGCGCAGGGTTTCACTCTTCTTTTCCGTAAGTGTAATATAGCAGAAGCTCACTAAATGTTTGCTTAGTAAATAATGGATATAAATCAAAATATGCCTAAATCTACTTAGAATTGTTTGGACAACAACAACAAAAAAGGTATACCGGGTCTAGAGAGATGTCTCAGTACTTAATAGTCCATCCTGTTCTTGAAGAAGACCTAGGATTGGTTTCCAGAAACTGTATCTGGTAGCTCATGACTACCTAGTTCAAACTCTGGGGATCCAACACCCTTCTGCTGGTCTGCACAGGTACTTCTTCTACACATGACAGATATTTACATGTACACATAGATAAAAGTAAGTATTAAGAAAAAGGTATACATATCATAAATAGAAAAGCCTAAGGTCCCTTACCCTGGATGCAAATGTGTTTTAAAATTTGTAACTGTTCATAATGTATAAAGGTAGATTGGTATCTAAGGGTCAGAAATATTGGTACTTCTGTAGTAATAAGAAACATTCCCAATGAGGAAGGATAAAAACTAAGTTACATATGCTTATGTTTTTTTACTGTCTTATTTTAAAACTGTAAGTTTTAGTTTAAGTTTGGAAAATTCAGCTATTTATAAAAATGAAATAAAAGAATCTCAAGTCATAAGAGAAATTATAAACAATAAATAGTATAATTTGGAAAATAACTGGCATATATTAATATTTCTAATTTGCTATTCTTCCAGCTCCCTACTAATATATCTATAGTACTGTTATAAGTGTAAAAATATGTGCATAAGATATTAAAAAAATCAAGTGAATTTAATCCACATAAAGTACTCACTGTAATGTCTGTGTCTCTGTATATATACTGGATATTATTATTTATGCCTCAACTTCAATTTTCATGTGGATATACCCGAAAGCACTTGTTCTACAAATCCTTACTGCATATGTTACACATGCTCTACAACATATGAATGACACAACAGAGCAGATCTGCTGCATTTACAAGTTCATCCACTTGCAAGTCTGTTATATGACTATAGCTGTCTTCCAAAATTACCTGCTTCACTTTTACCTTAGTCAGAAATGTATTCTCTTAGCTCAACAAATCTTGATTAAATACTTTCTTTAAAGGCAATTTCATTTCTTCAGTCATGAAGCTTACCAAATATAAGGCATTATATATACAAAGACAATGATCTAATGGAAAAGTTCGGACTCTTAAGAAGTAAAACTGGAATTTGAACTAAAGTAAACAAATTGATACCTTTCCATAGTAATTCCAGCCCTAGAAGCACTTGATAAAATGGCAGTCAGGGCAATTTGAGAAGGTGTGTATAAAAGATAAGCATCTGTCAACGCAATTCTACTAAGAAAATCATCAGCTGTTTTCCTCAACATCTCTGGATTCTCCAACATGGGGTACCGCGTCTAGAAATAAAGTTTACATATATTATCATTTCTGAGAGTTTCCTGAAGATCAATAACCATTAAAAAACATACAGTAACTAGTAGGGACTTAATAAGGTATGATTTTAGAAAAGTAACTCCTTTCCAATGTTCCAAAAACTAATTTTTCAATGTTAGATTTGGTATATACTAATAGAACGTAGCTAAATTATAGTCATCAATTTCTGAATGTTTCTTTCTGCTTCTCTGATACGGCTTTCAAACATTTTTGGAACCAGAACCACGATTAGAAATATATGCTTATAGGAACAAAACAGAAACACATACTTTAAAATGGTAATACTTAACATTACTCTCAGTTTGGTCCTTTTCAAAGTTAGAAAGGTAGGCTCTTTGAGTTTCTAATGGATTCAAGGCAGACCCAAGATCTACTAGACATACAGTCTCAGGTAAAGACTAACCAAGCAATCCAGACAATTGTAAGGTCAAATTAAAAATTGTTGCACCACATCACTGTCATAGGGAATTTGTTCTAATACACATTGTGGGAGAAAATAAATGGAAATGAATGTTGAACAAGTCAGCGTTCCCAAATATCTACAGAAATATTTGTTTTAAGACTATGCCCATGAGATCTGAAGACCTTATACTGCCTACCAGTTACTTAAGTCTCAATTCCTCAAAAAAAACCTCAGATACTCAGTCAAGTCCTGAAGCAGTTAGACAATCTGCAAATATCCTGAAATGAAGTATCAAGTTCTAATGTGGAACCACATATAGGCCTAGTCATTATTCCCAATGTCTGACCCTGAAATAATAAATGCAGTCACTCTAGTCTGACTGCAGATGTCCCCTTTCTCAGGATTTTAATTTGTTCATGCTGTTCTTGTAAATCTAAGACCATTTGGTTATGAATCCTTCTATCTGATCCCACTTACCACAGTCTTCATTTCTTTCCTGTACTTTTAAAATTTATTTTTATTTCTGTATGTGTGTCTGTGTTTGTGTGAGGGTCTATAACATGTGCAGTGTCCACAGGAACAGAACATGTTGTCATATATCCTGCAGTTGGAGTTACAGGCAGTTTTGAACCACCAGATATGGGTGCTAGGAACAGAACTCAGTTCCTCTGGACCAGCAGCAAGCACTCATAACTGATGAGCAATCTCTCCAGCCCCAATTTCAACAGTATCTGAATCCATTTCTCTATTTTTGATTTCTGGGCACTGCCAGAAAAGTCTACAAAAGAAGTCTTGGGATACGAATATAAATTCAAATTCATTCATCTTGGTCTACCAATGATGATGTTCCTAGAAAACTTGTTTGCCCGTTTGTCAGTGATAATAGTGAATATTCTCTACATTTATGTCTTTACTAATCCTCAAAAATCATCATTATGTGGAAAATTATGTCTGTACTCTTTAAGAAGGAAAAGCACTATTTCCACCAAATCCCCAGATACAACAGCTTTCTCATGTCAACACAATAGTTTGTCCTCTCTCTAAGGTCAATTGTACCGTTTCAAACCCCATGCTAACCTCCTGTATGTGGTTCATAGAGAATCCATAGCTATGCTATAGGGTCTCTGTTTCCCCTTTAATCTTTCCCTTATTACTCGCTCCTTAGATCAGTATTTAAATATGTGTCAATCTCTTCTGCACAACTAAATACCTCTACAATCAGCATTTCCTCCATGTTACCTCTTTCCACTTCAAATAGAAACTGTTTAATCTAAGTTCTGTTCTACAAAACAATTTTTCTATCAATAATGAATAACACACTTGAGTTCTACAAGGTTCTAATGCAGCTGAACATTCCCCATCATTTAGTGATTTCACAACCATCACAAGAATGTTTGTTTGTAGTGATACTTGTGTAAACAAGCCTGGGGTTTAGCATAAGACACAAGTATGTACATTGCAGAATTTTGAAAAATGATAGGCAATCATGTTAATGCTGCACTATGCATTTTAAATTATTATTTTAGTACATATTCCTTTTACTTAGTAACAAAAAATTTAATTATAAAACACCTCAGTCAGGTCCATAATTAAGTAACAGAAGCCACTGTTTTGAGAAGTTGGCCAGACACAATTCTGAGTTCTGGGACTCTCCTTCCCTTTTGTTTTAAAAATGTTTTCTTTTACTTACTTTTATTCATATGAAGCGTATGGTTATTTTGTCTGCACGTATGAATGTATGTCTATATACATCATGCATGCCTGGTGCTCAAAGAGGGACAGAAGGCAGCACTGGATCCCTTGGAACTGAAGTTACAGGCAATTATTAGCTGCTATGTGGGTGCTGGGAATTGGACCCTGTTAAGTCTGGAAGAGCAGACTCTTAGCTGGTGAGTGAGTCATCTCTACAGCCAGTTCTCTTTCAATTTATTCCCCCTACCACCAATCTGCTTTTTGCTTCCAACAAAATCATAAATGACCTTTCTGGCACTAAACTCAGCAAACATTATTAATCTACTTTTTTGCTACCTGATCTAAGCAGAATGAGAAAGTTGCTATGCTTTCTTAAAAAATACTCTACTTCCTGTTTGTTTTCCCAACAAATCCCACAACTCTAGATAAATTTTTGTCCCCATACAAGTTTCTTTATTGCTTATTCACCCTTTAAATAGTTGTCATGACAAGTCCTCATTGTATCCCTTTGCCCATTCTAATCCACTCTCCTAATAATGCAAGACATAAACAGATGTCCAATCTCATCTGATGCTGTGATGGTTCTTTTGGTTGTCAACTTGACTACATCTGGAATTAACTGAATTCCAAAACTGGTTGGGTTCACCTGTGAGGGATTTGTGCTTAATTAAATCATTTGAAGGAGAAGATACCCTTCTAATCCAGATGGTGTAAGGTGGAAAGATCTGCCTCTGCTCTGTGTCACACCTTCTGATAGAAGCCTATACAGACAAGGAAGAAGGAAGCTCCTCTTTTGCCTGCTTGCCCTGGCCTTCTTGAGAAGTCCATTCCTTCACTAGCATTAGAACCTACTTCACTGGCATTCTGATATATACTGAGGGTCAGCTGAGACACCCAGCTTCATGGACTGAACAACCACTGGATTGTTGAACCTTACATTCATAGACAGCCATTGTTGGATTAGCTGGAACACAGCCTGTAGGTCATTCTAATAAGCTCCCTCCCTGCCCCCCCCCACATATTCCATTACTGTTGAGAATCCTGACTAATATAGATGCACACTAACCTGTGAGGCTGACAACATGCCATTTTTTCTCATTGCAAACCCAATCGTTCTAATTCTCTAAATAAGACTTTCATTCTCTTCTTTATCCTTTGTTCAAAATCTTCAACATTACTTATATAATCTAGACTTTTGCTTTTCATTTAAACCATAACACTCTCCCTCTCTATCCCCAGGCTCTTCATTTCTTAAGAGTTGTGGATCTGAGCTCTTAACTAGGAAGGTCTCTGGGTGGGATGTTCTTACTGCACCTAATTCCTACTCTTGATTCGAATAAATAATTATCTAAAATATTAAACTGTAAGGTCATGTCCTGTCTTGTTTCTATGCTGCACCCTCAAACACGTTTAACGTACACAGAATATCCATAGCTGCTTAACTGAGAATAACCATTTCTTGATGTCTCTTCAACTTTAGACTATTCAACAACTTAACTATGTCAATATTTACATATGTATCAACATGTGGTACATGTAAACACATAAATATAAGTTCTATACATAAACTACGCACATTTTGTGAAACAGTATCACTACACTGCAAGGCTCATCTCAAACTTCCAGCCTAAGCGCCTGAGGACCCAAGGCTACAGGTGTCAGCTATTAACTTATCATTTTAGTACTTACATTCATTCATAACCTGAGTTTATAAAACATTGAAAATAGGAGCCATTTACCTTTTAGTTTAATATTAAGCACTTTTTAAGGTTCTGTAAGTCTCTAGGTCCAGATCTATGACAATATACATCTAATAGAAGTTGCCATAATTCTTTAAGAGCATTACTATAAACTCACTATCTACTACAATAGATTACTAAGCCAGAAACCTGGAAATTCTTACCTAACCATTGAAGATAACCAACTCTTCTGGTTGCACCACTTAGAATATTACTGGTTATAAAGTTTTCAATTCTTTTTAACAAATAATAACAACGAAGTACATCTATTAGCTAATTTCCGATCAGTAAAGTTTACCTTTATATCAATGAGGAAGCCTTCAAATGGTCGATAAGGATTGTGGACAATAAGGTGAAAATTAAGCTGCTGTATAAGTAGTAGTTCATATTCCAAAATCTGCTCTAGCGCTTTCTCCTGTCCAAGGGGACTCTCTCGAAGATTTCCAACAAACTGAGGACTAGACACATTGAATTCATCTACTTTGCAGGCCAGAAATGCACAAGTGAGCCTACATGAAGAAATAAAGAAGGGCAAAAAGACCTAAATATTCCTTAAAGTACTTTGTAAATTGTTTAATATTTACATGAGACTATGCTAAACAATTAAAAATGCAAGTTAAAATGAGTTCCTCTTTAAACTTTTATCCATTAGGAGACTTAGGAGAAACTATAAGTTGAGTAGAGCCATCATCTAATACTACTACAGCATTTAGCTACCATTAATGTACTAGTAGCTTCATATAGTCCAGCCAGAAACTTGAAAAACAGATAAGGAATAAAACTGGTGTATATCAAGAAATATAAATGCAAGAGTTAATTTAAAAACAGAATAGTACATATGTATGTACTTTGTAACCAAAGAAGGCAGGTAAAGGTAACTGACATTGCAGAAGGTCATCAGTAGAAGTCTCAAGTTACTTGAGAACAGTTACCAGCTTAAGGACAAGCATGAACTTCACCTGTGTACTAAGTTCAGAGATGGAAACTTGTAGGAAGCTACTGCTCACAGCTTTTAGAAGCTGAAGTCAAAATAAAGCCTTAAGCTTGACTGCTGAGAATGCAATGGGAAAAACAACAAAAACCAGAAACATGAATGACAGCAAACTCTGATGAGTCCTACATTAATTCTGTCCTCATCTTTAATGATAAGCATAATGCCCAGCAAAGAAAAGAAACAAAATACACCTGTGTTTAACCAAAATTAATATGAAGCTATAGGATCTGCAAACTGATGGGAGTGCAGAGAAACTTCCATGAATGATTCTTAGCCTGAGAACTGGGAAAATAAAGATGTCACTGACACTGACATTAGTAAAATAGCTAGGTTTAAGAAAAACTTTGTAAATGGCAGAGAAGCTGCAGTTCAGATACCATTAGCGATATAGAAGATAATGGCAAGTAAGGAGACCTTATCCTCATATAGGAAAAAAAAAAAAGAATTCAAGTCTAAAGTGTACTTAAGAAGTCAATTATCTCATGTACATACAACAGACAAATGTCCACACATTATAAACATCTTCAATGAAAACATAAAGGCAAAATTTTATACTCACATTATTATCCGGGGGTGATACTCCATTACTGAGTTATTAAGATAAAAACGCTTGAAATACATACAAGCTGTACCCTAAGATTTAAAGAAAAAAATATACACATCTATAAAAGCAGGAACTTCTTACATGTTACATTTTGAAAACAATAACTTATTCATGCACAGGTTTTCCTGAAAAGGTTCTCCACACAGATACCTCTGAATTTTGCTTTAATCAAAATAAACTGTGGTAAAGTACAACAAAACACCATAATCAAAAGAGCCTCTTTCACCTTTTAGTCTTTTGTTCTCAGGCTATATGGAGTAAGCCCTTCTGCAGTCATCCTCTAGAACATAATGAACTCAGGGCCAATTTGACCTGTAGACCATCTCAAGAAAAAAACAAACAAAACCACCAAGAAAACAATAATAAAACCCAAGATAAACCTCTAACAACTTCTAATAAAAGTTTCAAATGATCTTACGGCAGAAGTTGCAGCTAGAACGTAATGGATGGTTTCAAACAGAAACCGAGTTTAGCAGAATTGAAAAAGCACTAGTTTATACTCTAGTCCCAACTCTACTGTCTCTAGTAAAGAATCCCCCCCCCAAAATGATGTCACCAACTGTACAGCAGACCATGAAATGACCCTGGAGCTGCCCTTATTCACAAAACACAGCAACTTAGGATTTAAGGTCTGTATTTAAAAATCTCACAAAAATTAGTTTTTCTCACTCATTATACTGATGCATGTATGAATATATCCACATTAAAAAAATACAACTACTTCATACACACTTTCACTTACGTCCTTATAGTGGCTAACTATCCATTAAAATTCATGCCTTGACACTGAGAACTAAGCATGTAGGCAGAAGTCACATTTCTCAGTCTTGCTTTTGTCTGTTACAGTTAAAAGATTTTGTGTAATGTCTCTCACTTTTCAGCCCAGAACTCAAACAGTGGATATGCCTTCTCCACAGTTCCCTCTTATCCAAGCAGAAGCAGAGGGTTACCAGGTAAGACGATGCTAGCTAGGGTCACAAGGGGGCAGGAGCCGGAGAGTCTGAGAGTTTAATCATGACTAAGGAGAGCCACTTTCTCATGAGCTGGCCTGTACTGGACCACACTATGAGAAGAAATTAACTGCTAGATTTTTTTTTCTTGTAGTTTGGGGCCTATTTAGTTCTATAGTTAAGACTACTCTAGCCTAAACGAAACTCTAACAGAAATAAAATTTTGCTACTTGAGAAACAAGGTGACAAAAATAAACACAACCGAGCTGAGTCTTACAGAGTGAAGAGGGCTCAGTTCTCACAAGCCTGCTAAGAGGCACTATACTACACTCCACGACTTACCACAACGGATCGTGGCATTGCTGGCTTAAACACGGAACAGAATTCCAGCAATCTTTTCTCATAGTACTTGCAAAGTGTAATTTCTTCATAAGGCTCAAGAAACACTGGATCATTTGGAAGAACCTTTAAAGAGAGCAAACATTTTGATGTAAGTTCAGGGAATTGTAAAACTGTCTTTTCTGCCCTGTTTAAATTTGATTTGTATCTTCAAGAAAGGGTAACTACCTCAAATCATTTTCTCTTTGTAGGTTTGCTAATCATTACACAAAATATGTTAGAAGATAATAAGCAAAATAAATAAACTGAATCTAAATCATCATGTCTCAATTTTCCAAAATATCAGCTGGACATTTTTAAACAATCATGACAGAACATATGTGCCAATATGCTCCCATGTGTGACACCATTATTTGTAAACTGATACTATTTTCTCTGGTTGGAAATCTCCCAAATTCCCTTTCTCAAGTGCATCACTGTGTCACCCAAATTAAAGAACACGGCGATAAACGACTATATTTGCTACCTCATTTTATGGGGAGTGCAAACTACCATTTACTTGCAGTCTGTAGGAGCTATTATACAGACACCACAGGTCAGGACAGCAGAAACGGGCGGCAGAGCTGTAAGAAGACCATCCCATGCTCAACTGGCAAGTGTCAACTGTCGATTTCCTTTCCCTGTGCAACCTTCTGCGGGAAGGTTGTTTCCGGGAAGCGGACCCAACAAGCCATCAGACCTCGGGAAAAGCTCCCTTCAGTCTCCGCACGAGTTTCAACCTCACGGAGGCTTCGGTTTGCAAGTTCCTCGCCTCCGCTCTCCAACCACTGCTGCACCGCCGGTCCTGCTTCGCCCGCTGATGACCACGGGCGCTCTGGGCTGTGAGTCTGACTTCCCACCTGAAAGCATCCTTTGCCCCTCCTGTCACCCCCTGCGACAAGTCGGTCCTGACACCGTGCAGGGCGAGTGACCCGCTCGAGGCCCGCACTGAAACTCCGCACGCCACCAGGGCCACCTCCCGGGCTGTCGCTCTTCCCGGTCCCGGCAGGGCGGCCGGGGTCGCGTCTGTCTGCACCGACCCCAGCCAGGGGCGCGCCCCGCCCGCCAGCCCGCCTGCCCGCCCGCCCGCAGGGAGGCGAGGATCCAGGGGAGGGCGGCCTGCGGGGCCCTCACCTTCCCGTTAGCCACCGCTTTGCACTTGAACTTGCGGTTGGCGTCGGCCCGCAGGCGCGCCAGCTGCTCCTCGCCGGCAAAGGTCCAGTGCCGCTTCTGGCTGCTGCTGTGGTACATGCTGCTGCAGCCCGGGCGGGTCGCAGGGCCCAGACGGCCACGGCGACGACAGCGGCGGCGACCGCGACCGCGAGAGCTCCGAGGCCCGGACCCTAGACGCGCGCGTGACGTCACCACCACGTGCCGGCGCCCACTGAGGCGTTTCCGGAGCCCGTGGGAGGGGTTCCGCGGCTCGGCAGGGCGGAGCCTCCGGGCTCCGGGCCTTTGGGGCGGGAGGGGGGGGCTGGGGGGCGTGGCCCGGCACAGTAAGAAAGTGGGCGTGGCCGCGGGGGGACTAGCGCGGCCGGGTGAAGGCCAGGAAGGTTCCAGAGCGCCGGCGGGAGCGGTCCTCGGAGGATGTGCAGGCACACACGAGGGCTTAAAGCTGGCGCCGTGGAGGGGTTGGTGGTTGGAAAACGGAGCGCCAGATACATATTCGTGCTAACGGCTTACACGACCTTTCTCTGGCCGGTTTCCAGTTCCTCCTGGTATAGCGATCTCTGAAGCCAAAAGTGGATGATTCTTTTGCTGAAGTTCTTGGTATTCTCATCCCCATCATTGCTTTAAGTGAATCTTAACAATAAACTAGCATAATGCGTAAGAGATTTATCTTTTTTTGTTTGTTTGTTTATCAGGGCTTTCAAAATTGCGTTTGAGATGCTAAATTTACAGGGATTCCAAAATCCTTCACTGTTTTGTTTTTTTCCCTTTTCCTGTTTTAGGGGCAGAGCACAAAGGTCCCGCCACGCGCTCCCCCTTCCCCCCATAAATTGTTCAGTGGAGTTTTCCACCCTCTCTTCCTGCCCCACCCTCCTTACTTCTCTTACTGTGTACTAGAAGTCACTATTCTGTACACGGTAGTTTCAAACTTAGGACCCCCTGTCTAATCCTCTCAAATTCTGTGAACACAGGCATGCATAGCCACACCCACCCACCTCACCTTATCTTCGGATCACATTTCACAGCCTCTAAATGGAGGTTATTCAATCAAAACACGCTCTAGTCTTCCTAGAATAGGAACATGTAAATTCCACAGCTCGATGACAAAGATGCTAATGATATCTGATGAAAATTAGACAGCACCATGAAAGATTAACAGGAAAACGTTCCGTGGTTTTTAAAAACAAATGCAATTGTCTTTGTGCTGCAGTTATGCATTATTTGTAGATAGATTCTAAATATTAAGAGTGCCGATATTACCGGCACTCCGAGACTTGCAATCAGAGATCTGGCTTTACAGAGCACTTGTTAACCTGTCTCCAAAGAGAGGCTCTTCACGCTTTGCTAAAGGGACTTGCAAGAGCACAGTATTGGGAATTCTTTTTTTGCTTTGGACAAATCTCCCCACTTTTTAAAATCCTTATCCTAGTGATCCCAATGCTGTGAGAAACTTAAAGAATCCGAGACTATGTGTTCTCACCGCAAAAGGAAGAAAAGGAACCAGAAGAAGAAGGTATCAACTTTAATTATGCAACTTGGAATCATTTTCTTTTTGTGCATGTCTGTTGTGTGTATTGTGTGAGAGCATGATGTTTACAAGTGTGAAAAGCATGGGAAAGCCCAAAGTTGATGGTAGGTGCCTTCCTCAATTTCTCTCCGGTGTATTTATTGAAACATCATTTGAATGAGACCAGAGCCCACCAGTTCCTGCTAGGCTAGCCATACTACCCTATAAATGACCCATCTCTGTCTTCCGAGTGATGGGCAGGGTTACAGGTGCTCAACGGGCATGTTAGGTTTTCGATTGAGTTCTGGGTGTCCTAACTCTGGTCCTCACATTTGAAAAGCAACCGATTAATCTACTGGGCCATCCCCATCCCCAACTTAGAGTATATTTAAGTCAAATCTTGTATAAATTTCTTTAACTTATTGACTTTATTTCACTGACACACAGTTTCTGATTTCAGAGACACACAACAAAGGGAGGCTATAGAGAAAAGAATGAAGCCAGGAGTGGTGGTGAATGCCTGTAATCTCAGCACGGAGGAGTCAGTGGCAGAAGGACCAAAAGTTAAAAACCAACTGTGTGATGAGTTTCAGGACTGTCTGGGCTACATAACGCTCTTATCTGATTTTTTTGTTTGTTTGTTTTTAAGGAAAAGAGTGAATTACATTTAAGCTCACAGAAATAATATACTTGGAAATATGACATGTTACTGTATTCCTTTGGCTACTGACATAGGTTTCTAATGTTTTAAGTACAGACATATATTATTTTGTAAAACCATTAAATCCATTGCAATTCTATTTTTATGCCATTCAATTAACATTGGTTCTAAAATCGTTTTCCTAGTCTTGAAGTTAACACTAAGAGAAAAGGAGCTATCTATAACAAATGCTTACTTTCTTCCAAACAGACCAAAACTAAGGGTAAAGAAACTATCTCAGATCTAAGGGGGTCTAAGTGGCACAGTCTGTGATGCCTGCTACTCAGAAAGTTGAGGCAGGAAGATGACAGTCCAAGCTCAGCTTGGGTAACTTCATGAGATTCTATATCAAAATAAGTGAAAGGAGAGCTGAGACTGGTGCACTTGGGTATAGTGAACAAGGGGTATAGAACATATATATATATATACATATATATATATATATACACACACATATATAAACATACACATGCCTAAATGTCATCTGTTCAGTCCAGGTAATGTTACTTGGGTATTTTCGGGGCTGCTCATTTGGCACTGGACAGTGGTGTGCTCTTTCCAAGGGTGGACCACCTGTCTTGGTCCTAGCTGTCCTCATTTCCCGATTGTTCTTTGTGAATGATTGAGAGCTTGTAAGCTTTTCCCTGTCAAGTTTGACATATCCATAGGTGTCATCCCTGTTCCACTCACTTTTGGGCAGTCATTATTGGTGAGACATTATGGTATAGCTTCTGATATTACTGAGGAGACACAATATCACAGCAAACTCCAAAATCTTCTGGGTCTTATAATCTTTCCACCCATCTTCTGCAATGTTCCCTGAGCCTTTTATGTGGATTGTTTTGTAGGTATATTTACTCATTTGTACTGGGCTCTGCAATTTGACATTTTGATAGGTTGTGGTTTTCTGTAGTAGACTCCATCTATTACAAAGAGACATTTCCTTGACCAGGGAGTGGTGAAGACTACACTGATCTGTAGGTAAAAAGCTAAATGTTTACAGATTGTTGCTAAGTATTGTGCTAGTTTATAAATTAGTGGCTGCAGATTTTTTTCCAGTACCATGGCTTCTCTAGCACTGATCAGTTAGCCAGGTTTCCAATACCAGGAATGGTTTCCCTTTGTTGGATGCATTTTGTAAGCATTACAGTTTGAATGAAAAGGTATCCTGGCGGTCAGGAGCCAAGGAATTCTACAAAGTCACACAGCATGAATGCAGAGTAGAAGGGCCAGCCAAAGAAACACACTCTGACCCTGAAACCAGAGCCATTGAAAGAAACACACCCTGGTCCTGAAACTAGACCCAAAAAGCTAAAAAGGACCATTCAAAGAAACACACTTTGGCCCTGAAACCAGAGCCAGAGAAACATGCTTCCCCTGACTAACTCAGCACAAAAACCAACCAATCCCTGAACAGGAAAACCAATCAGTCTCTGAGCAGGAAAATCAGCCAATCCCTGAGCATGAAATCCAGTCACTCTCTGTGCTTGTCCAAGTTTAGGGATTGAAATCTGACCAGTTCTCACCCTGAAAATCCTCACCCTGGAAAACCTCCGTCTCTAAGAAGCCCTATATAAGCCCTGTGATTGCTCAGTTGGGAGCTGCCCTTTCTGCCTTGGAAGAGGCAGCTACCCTCCTGGATTCTTCCCGCCCAATAAATCTCTTGAATGAGATTTGGGTGAGACCGTTCCAGGAATGGGTATGAGCATAAAAGTAACACCTTTCCTTGAGCTGAAACCGAGTGGGGTGGGGCACGGTGGGGCAGGGTACAGCAGAGCTGTAACACTGGGGAAATCTTCCCTTGCCGAAGCAGAGTTGTTACACTGGGAAAACTGTAACACAAAATAAAAGACCCAAAGACAGACATTGGGATTTAAACTTCAAGCTGAAGATCAGAAAAGAAAAGCAGCCATCCACTGTCTTTTACCTCTAGCTCAGGCTGAAAGGGCGTCATTATAGAATCTAGTATGAGCAAGAATCCTAGTAATTAAATTTGACAAGTCCATGCCCTTTATGAGTTGCCATTCTTAATATACAAAGAGGTACAAAGTACAAGATATATCTGAAGATTAGCTTAGAAATAAGGTGAGTTGCCTGAATATTACATATTAAAGTAAGAAGGTTACCAAATGGCTTTGGCTGAGTTCATATGGATAATATTTTCTTTTTGAGACAAGAGCATATGAAATGTAGGCCTCAAACTCACTGTGTAGTTGAGAATGGTGAGTTCCTGATCCTACAACCTCCACCTTCTATATGCTGGGGTTATAGAAGGCCTGGGCCACAATGCTGTTTAGGCAAATGCTGATGGATTAAGGCTTCTGCCCATTTGAGTTATTGTTGCTGTACTTTAGAAGTTGTTGAATTTTGTTTCCACATAAGTCCCTCCAAGAAACATATAATGAAGCAACCAAAGCCATGTGTTACTTTGACTCACTGTTTTTATATGCTTTGGAGAACATTATGCTTACTGGATTAGTAAAGTTTCTATCTACCAGAGGCATTCCAGATATCATTTTGTTTTGAGCATGCTTGCATATGGATATGAGCTGTATATGATCAGAACTGTGCCTATCTCTGCATATATGAAAGTTTCCAACACAAATGTGAATACATTTTTCTAACATATGCTTTTATTTTTTGAAGAAGGTGCTACTTTGTCAATCACGGACAGTATGCTATTGCGATTCTTTGGGTGGGAGTCTTCCTCTCTCTATTTCTATCTCTGTCTTTCTTGGCTTTTCCAAGCAGAGTTTCTCTGTGTGGCTCTGGCTGTCCTGGAACTTGCTCTGTAGACCAGGCTGGCCTCAGACTCATAGATCTGCCTGCCTCTGTCTCTCCAGCGTTGGGATTAAAGGCATGCTTCACCACATCGGATTCTCTTCATTTTTGAGACCTGATTACATTCCCTAGCTCATATTGGCCCAGGACTCAGGCTGGCCTCAATCCTCCTGCCTCAGCCTACTAAATACCAAGATTACAGACAAGAGCCATCACACTCATCTTAGTGTTGACTTCCCTGTCATTTATTATAATCCAAAGTCTCCTGTAGTCCAGGATGGGCAAGGTTACCTTGAGCTTTTGATCTTCCTGATACCACCTCCCTGAGTGTCGGAATTACCAGTGTGTACCCCTCCAACCAGATGGTCTATGTGGTGCTGAACACTGAATCCAGGATTTCAAGCGTGCCACACAAGTACTCTGTCAGTTGATTTCCATCTCTAATCTTGTGGTGTGTTCTCCCTTCAAGTAATTAACTTGTATTTAAAAAATAATGCACTTTCATCTTATGTGTATGAATTTTTGGCTTCCATGTACGTAAGTTCACTTCATATGTGTCTGAAGCCCGCAGTGGCCTGAATAGGGCAATGGTTCCCCTTGAACCAGAGTGATAGGGTTGTAAGTCTCCATGTAGGTTCTGGGAACTGAACCCAGGTCCTCTCTAAGAGCAAAAAGTGCCCTTAACTCATGGGCATGCCTTCAGACCAATAAACCCAACTTTACTTTTACCCCCTGTTCCCGCTTGCTGGCCCTGTATTCGTCAACTGATGGATTCATTGTGTTTGTTTACAAAGTGGGAGACTCCATTTCAAAAGATCTGAGGAGCCTGGGATTGTGAATTCTTAGTAAAAATTCTCTTTAAGTTATACAACTTTCTGAAGGTCTCTCACTTCTCTCAATCTCCCCCCCCCCTCTGTGTGTGTGTGTGTGTGTGTGTGTATGCACGTGCACATGCGTTCACATAAATGTACTTGTGAGGCCAATGGTGGAGATGTTTTCCTTGGTTTCTCTGAAGAGTATATATAAATTTGATGTATTTAGAATCTTTCATTTGATCATTGAACTTACTCTTTTTTTTTTTTTCCAAGACAGGGTTTCTCTGTGTTTTTGGAGGCTGTCCTTGAACTAGCTCTTGTAGACTAGGTTTATCTCGAACTCAGAGATCCGCCTGCCTCTGCCTCCCCAGTGCTGGGATTAAAGGCGTGTGCTACCAATGCCCGGTTTGAGCTCACTCTTTTATCTAGTGAGATAGTGAGCTTCCTCTAAAGACCCAGCTCTACTTCCCGAGCACTGGGAATGCAGTTAGGCCACCACACCTGTCCAGCATAGATGTGGCTTCCAGAGACCCACCCTCTTTGATCATCATACTTGAGCTAGTACTCCACCTACTCCTCTCTCTTCCCAACCATTAGACATTACTTCTGACACATAAAATTAACCACTGCAAATCCCCCTTTTGTAAAGTTGGAACTTGTATGTATTTTAATAAAGTATACTAACTTTCAAGTAAACATAATGGGATGTTGCAATACCACTTAATATAATTTAGCTACAACACATCCAAGTAAACATGAACTATCTTCTTCCCAAAAATAAGGGATAAAGTCTTCAGATGACGTTTGCTTTTTCTGTTCCCATAAGCTTAAGTACTATCATGTAAAATTAAGAAGACTTAAATATTATTTTAATAGTGTAAATAAATATATCTTTTTAATATAATGGAATACATGAATGAAGAAAATAAAGATATATATATATTGAAAGTGTATATTATATTGAATGTGTGTAAATACTGACACAAATATACATACCAAAAGCAAATGTTTAAAATGGAATAAAAGGGAACACAATTACAACTTTCATTACTACAAAATTGGTCCCATGATTATAGATGATATTTATAACTGCATTCTTTCATGATCCATTCTGTGTCCCCTTTGCCTGTAACACATACTTCAGCTAATTACTTACCTGGTGGAGTGAATCAAAATTTTTTCTCTGGGATCAGTGGTTCTGACCCTTCTGAATGCTGCAACCCTTTAGTACAGTTTCTCATGTTGTGGAGACCCCCAACCATAAAACTATTCTATTGCAACTTCATAATTGTCATTTTGCTACTGTTATATGTAAATAATATGTGAATAAATGTAACTTTATGATATGCAGAGTATTTGATATATGACCCCAAAGGAATCATGACCCACAGGTTGAACACTGTTGGTCTGGAGCATTAGTAGCTATGGGTGGATTGAGTTATTTTCATTTTCTGTTTGTTTTAGTTATTAATCTTATAATACTAGACACTCTGAAGAATCACTGTATACCAGCCACACCCTTTCTTACCACCCTTGATGGAATACTAGTCCAGTTTTCCACAGGTGGTTGTAATCTGTCATCTCACTCATTTCAAGCACTCCTTTGTCTGTTCATTCAGAAACCTGAGGACTACAAAGTAACCTCACAGGAGTCTTAACTTCTAGATCAGAGGAATCATTGTTGTGTCTCTTCAAGGTAACATTCCTGTCTTCTGAGTCAAGACTTTAGGCCAGAAAAGCATAAGGCCATAGGAAGCGAAAGTACAGATTTTGCTAGGTGGTTGTTGAGAGTAATAGCGATTGACACAGTTCCCATTTTCACACTAATTCCTTGAGTCAGCTCCATGCTGATTCAAAGCATGCAAGATCTTCTGGAGTTTGTGCCCCAGCCCTACAAAGTATAGCTTTGAAGCTGATGTTCTAAATGAATCTTCAAATCTACTGCTCTAGGATGGTGAAAAATGTGGCAAGACCTATCTCATACACTGCATGAGTATGAATCCCAATGCCATAATTTTTGCACTGGGAAGCGACCTGCAATGTAGTTGTGACAATAAGTCAGGAATAGTGTGCAGCACTGAGTGCAGGAAAAACAAATCCATACCCAGAATAAGTGATTATACCTCCCACTGCAGAGTCTCTCCAGGGCTATCCACGTTTCTTTTCCCTCTGACATTCCCAAACATGGGTTCTGTATTCATATCTGTATGAAGTAGAAAAATTTCTGGGCTGCAGTTGTGGTATACTTGATGACACTGTGTGAAGATGTGTCTCTGTCCTCCCTTGCTAGCCTAAGGTACCTTCCAATAAAAAGCTGACTGGCCAGAGAGGATAGGCAGAACTCTGAGGAAGAGAGAGGAACTTAAGGAATCTGAATGACTACAGATTCGCCAGGAAGATGTAGAGGAAATCGGACATACTGTATGGAGTAGAGGTGACAAGCTACGTGGCAGAATGTAGGTTAATATAAGTGGGTTAATTTAAGATTTAAAAGTTAGTTGGGGACAAGACTAAGCTAAGGCCAAGCTTTCCTACTTAATAAGAAGTATCTGTGCCATTATTTGAGAACTGGCGGTCCAAAGAAAGTCTGGCTACAGACGGCAGCTCTTTTTTCATTGGTCACACTTTGTACTTCATTTATGAGCCTGTAGGACTTGATTCTAATTACACGTCTAAATGGAAACAATATAAAGGTGGGGTGGTGTGGGTCTTGAAGGGAATCCACAGAGGCAGCCATTACAGCTTCTCAGACAGTGCAGACCTAGTACTCTCACACTATAACACTGCTGTTGACACTGTAGAAGGGGTGCTCTTCCATTGGTAAAGACTTGAATTTAGAGGCTCAACTTTACCAGCTCCTTCCTGACTTTTTTCATACCTCCGCACCCAATATTGTATGATGTCATTCTTTCCTATGCAGTGCCTTCTCTTTGACATAAACATGCCATGGGGCAGGAAGCTGACCTTGAGTTATAATTTGGTCAGATTCAAAATGAAGCTCTGCATTTTATTTTCAATGATCTGAGTCTCCAGGTGTTCTTCAAGACACACATGAGGTACTGAGTTTAGAGATTTACTTTTCTTCAGTGATAGTGGAACAACCAGAAAATTTCGTTACATTGTTTAGTTTTTGTCCTTGCTTCCTTTCAGTTGCTGTGACAAACACCATGACTAAAGTCAACTTTGGGAGGAAAGGGTTTATTCCATATTACACCTTATAGTACATTATGAAGGAAAATAAGGGCAGGAACTCACAGCAGGAATCTGGAGACAAGAACAGAAATGAGGACCATGAAAGGATGCTGCTTGCTGGCTTGCCTTCTCCATGACTCACTCAGACTTCTTTCTTATACCATCCAGGCCCGCCTCTCTAGGAGCCTAGGCAGCCATTAGAAAGTCTTACAATGGACTGGACACTTCCAAATCCAGAACATGCCCCACTCTTGACTACAGGCGAATCTGATGGAGACGTTTTCTCAGTTTAGGTCTCCTCTTCCTAGATAACTCTAGCTTGTGTCAAGAGGACAAAAACCAACCAGCACAATTTCCAAAAGTCCTCTAGTTCATTCAGAGCCACCCAGCTCCCAACGTCTTGTAATTGGCTTGCTGACAGTATCCAGTGAAGGTATTTTATGTATCTCTATTACCATTTCACACCAGGGACCACTATGGTGCTTGTGCATGTGTTTATATAAAGAATTAACACAATTATAGAGGCTGAGAAATCCTAGGCCCAGATCTCCTTTCTGTAAACTCAAACCCAGGAGACAGTTTCAGTGAGAGTGTGAAGGGCTAGGAGTCAGGAGAAGCAGTTATGAAAATTGTAGTTTGAACACAAAAGAACTAATCAGAAGGGGGAGAGGGAGTTCTCACTTAGATGCTCCTCCAACCCCTGTATCAGCACTCATTCGCCTGCTATCATCCAGCACTGCTTCCAGGCTGCAGCAGTAGAGACAGAGCACATGGCCTGCAAGGCCTAAAATATTTACTCTCTGGCCCATTAGAGAGCACACTTTGTTTAACATTGTCCCAAGACGCTGGTTTTAAGAGTTTAATGTGCACACAAGTCACCTGGGAGATCTTGTTAAAATGTTGACTTTGATCCATGAGGTCAGGACCCAGCTTCATTTCCATCTTGATCCTCAGGGAGGCCATGCTGCTGGATTGAAGACTGCTTTTTGTTTCCCAATTTTCACTCTTGTCATAGCTCCTGACTACAGTGTCACAAACATATACCTATATCAGTTTCTTTAGGTCCATTTAACTTAAATCCCATTACTTCTGTGTACTCTCATAATTGTACCAGTTGTAAGAATCATATGTCTTCCAGGACAAAACTAGTGCTAAATAAAATCCAAATCTTTGAATTGATATATTAAGTCAGACTGTAGGGCTGAATTTAAATGATGCAAGCCCTTACATTAAAAACCACACCTCAATTATGAACTGAAAAATTGCTTACTGTGCAAATTGCCTGGTGACTGCAGAACTAAGAATGTGATTTAATTTCCCATCTTGATAATCTCATTTTCAGAATCTGCTTGAGGAGATATTGATAAATTGTAACAGCTAATCCTGCATGAAAGTTTACAGACTATGAAAATGGTTTATTTTGCAATTAAGAATCATGCATTCCAGCCTTTGAACAGAAGTATTTGAGTAGTTAAGTAAGATGAGGAAATTCTGTAGTCAAAAATTAGTCAATTTATTTTGCTTTTCTTCTAATCAACAGAAATTTCTACCTGACCTGTTTCTATATATCCCGAGAATAAATGTAGTGTGATTATGGGCTGCTTGAAAGGCATCCTAGAGACATGAAAAATCAGTTGTGTTTGGCATTTCAAAAATCCTCATAGCAGTTCTATCTCTACTTAAAATTGTGTACAATCATTTCATTATCTAATACACTTGTACATAATAAATGCAAATAAATACCCTTTTCATAAATGTGCCCAAAGAAATATTGTAAAGAAATTATATGCATGAAATTATTTCATATCCTAATAAAGTATTTGTGCTCCAAATATTTTAAGAGTCAATATACTTTTCTTTAAATCAACATATTATGGTTGTCTTTTTAATTAGTGTCTATTAGTATTTGAATGTTAAAAACAAAACAAAACAAAAAAGCTAAGATCAGGAAGTAAAAAGCCACCAATAACCTTGGTACATCACAGTTTATCCACATGGTGGAGCTATGGGGCTAGATCCTGGAGACTAGCTTTAATATACTCATCATTGTGAAACAACTAACGGTAAACCCACCCAACCCAAATTCCTACATGCAGTTTTCTCTGGTAGTCTCTGACTTTAGCATAGTGCAGTCTCACTCATTCCAGCCCAGTTTGTTTCCTATAGCAGTGTGTCTCCATCCTTGGCTGTGCACTAGCATTACCTGGGCAGCTTTTAAAAACCCTGTAATGGTATCCTTAGCCCAAGTGAACAGAATCTTTCCATGGTAATGGATGGGCAGTGACCCATTTTAAGACCCACAAGATGATCTATAATGAAATTGATTTTGCAAACTTATTACTATAACTTCTTTAAAATAAAAACAAAATCTAACTGCATCACATTTTTTGTATAATCATACATTGGCTCCCTATTTACTCTATGATAAAATCAACCCATGATGGATAAACCCACTCAAACAGCTGACCATTCATTCCTTTTCTGCTCTCATCAGTACCACCTCCTACTCCAATCTGTGCAGACTCAGCCTACAGAGTTGCTTTCAGATTTCTTAACTCAACCATCTTTTCTACACTTTTAAGCTTGCTCTTATATGCCCAACAACGAATACAGTAGGTAATAATTAATATTTATTTAATGGCAAAATGGATAATGTAAATTGTCTTCTTCCTATTTAGGACAGAAATATTTATTCTACCAACACTTCAAGAGTATTTGCTTACCTTCCAGTGTGTTGGAAACAAAAAGTGGCATCTGATCAACAGCAAATCTGGCATATTTTAAAGACTCTGTGTTCTGCCAACTGATTCAATTTAGAGGTAACATTTGAAACTTTCTTGGGAACAGCTGCTTCTCCTTTGTTTCTTTTCTCCCCCTAAATTTCTCAACACAAGCATTAGTGTTTAAAGCAACAGAGTAGTTGCTTGCATGTGAGTTATACTCCAGGTATCCTTTCTGAATGTGCAGGGCTTTGGAAAGTCGTACAGAGTTTCCAGTTCTAATCCTGGAAATGCTATTAATGCTATTGAGCTTTAACATTAAGGCTGAATTCCCCTCCCTGCAATACACACATAATGGGGCTGGATTTCAAACACAAGGCTACATGCTGGGCAAATGCTCTAACACTGAGTTTCACACTCTACCCTGTAAAAACATTTAAATGCCCTGTAAATCAGAGACATAAACCAGTACTTTAAAGAAAAAATTAATATAAAATATTAATATTTCTCCTTGCTGACACAGTGATTAAAAGGCAACAATTACATTTTTTCGGAATAACTAGGTCATGAATGTAAAACTGCCTAAGGTTCAGAAGAATCATGTGGCTCTCATTTCATGGGAATAAGATATATTAGGATTCTCTAAAGATACAGAAACTGATAGAATGAAATATATATGTATATACATATATATGTGTACAGGTAAACTTATATTTTATTCTATCAGTTCTGTTTATATATGTATATGTGTATATATATATGTATAATATGTATTTCATTCTATCAGTGTCATATGTACTGGTGTGTGTGTGTGTGTGTATGTGTGTGTGTGTGTATGTGTGTTTATATGGGATTTATTAGAGTACCTTACAGACTGTAGTCCAGATAGCTCAACAATTGCTGTCTCCTGAGTGACAGGTCAAGGATCCAGTAGTTGTTCTGTCCACAAGACTGAATGTTTCAGCTGTCTCTTTCTGGTGCTGGAGTCCCAAGGATGCAGCCAGTCTTCAGTCAATATTGGAATCCCAAAGAAATAGATTCTAACCCCAGACAAGAATGGCTCAGGAATAGGACAGAGGAACTTGGCAGAGTGTGAGGGGAAGGAAGCAAGAAGCAAAAGCTTCCTTTTTCAGTGTCCTTTTGTGTGGGCTGCCATCAGAACACGTGGTCCATATTTAGGGTGGATCTTCTAACCTCAAGTAATCTAATCAAGAAAAATCTCTTATAGGTGTGCCCAGCTGCTTGTGTTTTGGTTAATTCCAGACGTAGTCAGATTGACAACAATGATTAGCCATTGCATAAGGGAAAAGTCCTCCAACCCTGTGGTGGTTTGAATGGGAATGGGCCCCATAGGCTCACATATATTAATGCTTTGTTCCTAGTGGCTGGAACTCTTTTGGGAAGGATTAGGAGATGTGTCCATGTTGGATAAAGTATTTCATGGGCATGGGTTTTTATATTTCAAAACCCCATGCCAGGTCCAGTCTTTGACTCTCTGCCTCCAACTTCCAGATGAGAGTTAACCTCTCAGCTATTGCTCCAGGACTATGCCTACCTGCCTGCTGCCATGCACCTAGCTGTGATAGCCATGGGTTCACATTCTGACTATGTAATCAAGTCCTCAATTACATGCTCTCTTTTGTAAGTTGTCTTAGTCATGGTGTCTCTTTCCAGCATAGAACAGTGACTAAGACAAAGCCCTAAAAATAGCTTCCTATATTATAGTTACCAGAAGACATAAAACTGGTGGCAGCTACTTACAGTATCCTGGCCTTTATTTTCAGGCCATCAGTTAAAGTTGCCTCCTCCTCCTCCTCCTCCTCCTCCTCCTCCTCCTCCTCCTCCTCCTCCTTGTTCTCATTTTCCTTCTTTTTTCTTCTTCTCCTCCTCCTTCCTTCCTCCCTCATTCCTTCTTCTATGTTTCCAGAAGAAGTTAAGTGAGTCCAGGACTTGGACACCAAACACTATAAAATGTACATCACCACTCCAAACTGATGCTTTAATGTGGTATATTTCTCTTAAATATACCAGTGAGTCATTTGGCATGGAAAGGCTGCCTCTTAATTCAGGCATATCTTCGTATCGCTTGAATAAACACATGTAAATATTAGAACGAAATAATAATGTTCTGTCATGTACAGGCATATAGTCTTTAAAATAAGCCTTGTATAATGTCTTCTGGTGAATGAATTTGCTGAAGTTTTCAAGTTTTTGAAAATACACCTTTTTGAAAATGTTAAACATTTTAAAGAGTTCACATTTACATGAACATCTGTGATGCTGAAATCCATGGTTAGAATATGGATGACTTTTATGTACAATAATAATCAAGGGGTTTTGTTTTCTAATGTAAATTCAAACATGCTGCTGAATCAATTAGTGTTTCTATGACGTTGAGGAGGCTTAACATGATTCTTTATTAAAGACAATAAATGCTAATGAATTCTATTTACTTGTTCATTTTAATTTTGAGATAGGTTCTCATGAAGCTTAAGCTGAGTTTAAACTCACTGTATAGCTGACAGAAGACTTTGAACATCTGATTGTTAAGAGAAGCTTTTTCCTTTGCTAGCCGCTTTGGTTTATCCCCCGCCAGTCACCTGGGCTCTGCCGCGCCAGCCTGGTTCTAGATCCGCATGAGTCCCAAATAAACACACAGGAGGCTATATTAATTATGAAGCTGTTGGCCTTGCTTGTCCCTTACTGGCTAGCTCTGCCTTAAGTAATTACCCCATAATTGTTAATCTAAGTATGTTTCTTACCGGAGAATAGTTCCCGGCTTCTTACCCCTATGGCGTCACATGTCGACTCTCTTGTCTTTCTCCTTCCCAGAGTTCTCCTGGACTCCTAGTCCCTCCTATCTAGGTTTCCTATAGGCTCAACAGTACTTTATTGACAAATGCACAGGACTTCCCCCAACATCTGATCCTCCTGCCTATAGCTTCCAGGTGCTGGAAACTTTATTTCTTTCATTGACTATATATGAGGAAATTCACACTTGGTGGCAAGAGCATTTTATGGTCTTTGAAAACTGGGGTGTGTTTGGATACATTTTTGCTACACAGAACGAGTATATATGTATTTAAACCCTAGTGTCATGCTCATAAAAAGTAAGGGACTTTTAGCTATGTGTGTTTTGGTTCCCTGGCTGGCATTCAGACTGCATACTTGGACAACAATTCACCTTCTTTCTTTACAAAATATATACTAAAAATATATGTTTATATATATATAAATATATATTTATATATGTATAAAGCTACTACATAACTTTAAATGAAAAGAGGCTTACAATTGTTTAATATACTACTGTTGATAGTTTTTGTTTTCTTTTCTTTCTTCTGGTATTAACATTTTGCCTTTAGTATTGCCTTTGGTAATGGTTGCTGCTGATCATAGCACACTGTAATGTGGGGTGTGTGATGTGGGTCTACAGTGTGGGCTCTACTTGGAATCTGTCAAAATTGTTAGTACTTACAGAGTGTTAGAGGATGATAGGAAACTCCTAGGTCAAAGACAAAGGACTTGCTTTCTCACAGTACAAAGGACAGCAGTGAGTACCAGCATATTCACACATGGTTCTCCTTGTCAAAACTCTGAGATGGGCCAAATAGAACCTACACATGCAGATTCTGGGGAGGATCCAGAGACCCAGGGTTCAGTGACTAGTTTCAGAAACTACTTGACACTAGGGTTTAAATAAGTTTTACAATCTGTCACACAGAGAGAGACTATGCAGGATATGATAGAGATGCCAAGAGTGCCCAGGCATTGCTACTTCCTGTTTGTTTCAGGAATCTGATCTTTTCTATTAAGTGCATCATTTCTGTTGAATTTATCATCTGTCATTGAAATAAGGCATTAGCTGAGGCTGTTCCTTACCATATATGGCTTGCAGGAATCTGCATATACTGAAAATGTAGATCTGACCTCTGCAGCTTGCTTGCTTAATTCTAGTTATACACTTCCTTATGACTTTGCATTGTCCATCGTTCCTCCATGACTGGTGTTCAAAGACTCCCTCAATGTTGTAGCTATTTTTTATTGTTAAACACAAATCTAAGAGTTACCCAGTCAATGTAGAAAATATGGACTGTAGGGAGAGGTGTAGGTATCTGTCATTTTTCCTGATCCTGAAAATTTAGTTTTGTTTCAAGTCTAAATCTTTTCTTTATACTAAAAGGGGAATTGTAGGGAGAGATCTAGGTACCTGTGGTGCTGACCATGCCTGTTTTGGGTGTGGCCACAGGTGCATATGGGCATGTGGAATAAAGGATGGAAGAGAGGGGCTCTCTCTCTCTCTCTCTCTCTCTCTCTCTCTCTCTCTCTCTCTCTCCCTCTCCCTCTCTCTCTCTTTTGGGGGTCCCAGTCAGGTCTTGAAAGGCTGAAGAGACTAACCTTGGTTTTTGGTTTCTCATGTAAGTAACTTCCCACAATAAATAACCAACAACATCCTTATCCCGTGTACTGTTACTTATTTAGTCAACAATGGACATCTAATTTTCTACTTTTATTAAATTTACCATTTGGAATTTTACAGCATAAACATAGGACTGCATCACTTCCAATCCTGTCTTTCCCTTTTTTTTTTTAAATGTCAGGGCTTTTTTTTGGGATCTCATACTTGACTATTGTATTTGCATCATTTCCATCCCCAACTCCAGGTCTTACCCTGTTCCTTCCACTTCTCAAATCCGTGACCTCTTCTTTATTACTGTCATATATACATATAATTGTATGTATGTATGTATGTCCTTACCAAGTTCGTTTGGTGTTGTTCAAATGTACATATGTTTAAGACTGACTACTTGGGGTTGGATAACTTATCAGGGGATTCATCCCCAGAGAGAACTGATTCTCCTTCTCTCAGCAGTCATTATTGCCTATAACTCTTCATCTGAAGGTGAGGCCTTGTGAGAATTTTCCCTATCCATGTTGTTGGCATGTCAACTGGTATTGTCATTATACAGGCCTTGTTTGGGCAACCATACTGTCGAGATTTCATTTGTGCAGTTTTGCTGTGATGTCTAGAACATATTGTCTGGCAGAAGGCATCCTGATCTGCAGGCTTTTACAAACTTTCTGCCCCATCTTCTGTGATTCTGACTGAGCCTTAGATGTAAGGGTTGCATTATAGAAGTACCAGTTGTGGTTGGGTGTTTTAAGGCATTGTGGGTTTTTGTAATCGCCTCCATCTTCTTTAGAAGAGGCTTCTTTGATGAGGGGTGGCATGTACACTTTATAAGGATAAGGATAAATATGTTTAATACAGTTGGTTTGGAAAATGGCAGTTGTAGAAAATTCTCTAAGGTCTGTGACCTCTATAGTCATTGGTAATTGGCTAGGTTTATAGTCCCAGGCATGAATTCACTCCTATTCAGTAGGGCTTAAGTCCAATAAGATAGCTGTTAGTTGTGCTAAAGATAAGTGTGCCATTGGTATAATATTTGGGGGCATCTTTCCAGGCCAGCCATGGTTATGAACCATAGGCTGTACAGATGGGTAGGACCATTGATTGCTTTTCTCCTTGGCAACTTGGGTAGCCCTATCAGATACTGTGAGAACTAGTTCTCAAGAAGGAGACGTCCAGTTACAGTTCATCTTGGTTGTTCCAGGTCCTGGGTCCAAAATGTGTGGTACTTTTAGCAATAGGGTTTTACTTTCAAGTTCTGAAAAGCAACCAATAGCAGAGTACCATGGCTGTTCTTGATTGTCAACTTGTCTACATCTGGAATTTACTGAAATCTGTTGGTGTGTAAGCAGCAAATCAATCAGCCATAGTTTATGTCTCGGCAGATGTGGCTGACTGATGAGAATGCTGTGGTAGTATCTGATGAGTAGTGTATTGCTAGAAATAACCCTGTAAGAATTTGGATTCCTAGACAAAGTCCAGTTAGGGATCTGAAGTTTCATCAGGATGAAATGTTGGATGGGGCTGGTAGGTCAATGAATGAGTGGCTGATAATTTTTATTAGTGGGTGTTTTATGCTGAGGTTTGTCATTAATGTTTCTATAGTTGAATTACAATGATGATTTTCCATGTTAGTCATAGGAATAATCTATGTAGAAATTATGACAGAATCTATTTTATTTTAAGCTCATCATTTGCAGTAGGTTGTTTAGGCACATGTTTAAAGCCTTCCCTGTTTATGGTGTTATTTTTTTTATCATTAGTGGGTATGCTTGTGAGGGATTTTAGCTTACTTTGAATTAGAATGATCCACTTCTAATCTGAATCTTTAAGGTTGGAAGACCAACCTTTAATCTAGATCTTGAGATGGGAAGACACACCTTCAATCCAGATCTTTTGAACTGGCAAAATGCACCTCTAATCTGGGCCTTGCTTTTTGCTGAAAAGCCTTTATAAGGACATGGAAGAAGGAAAACTCTCCTCTTTGCTTGCTTTCTTTCATCTTGCTAACAAGTCCATTCCTTTACAGACATTATAGCTTAATTCTTGGGGATTCTGGCATGTACTTAAGGCCTGCTAAGACATGCAGCTTCTTGAACTGAACAACTACTGGATTCTTGAACCTTACATTCATAGGCATCCATTATTGGATCAGCTAGACCACAGCCTGTAGGTCATTCTAATAAATCTCATATATAGATATTCAAATATATTCATGATATATGAATATATATTCAATATACATATAAAAGTACAATTTATAAGTTTTGTGCTTGGCACTGAGATTTTTCTTAGTCTATGACTCCTGGTAGATCAAATGTCCAAATGGAAATGGTATGCTAACCACCAGAAGATACCTACTCTCCATTTTCTTCTCCTAGAACAGAAAATCAGCTAGCACATTATAGAACAATTTTGTCAACATGAGTCCTATGGTTCATTTGCACAAGCTGAACTAGGCTTGTGCCTTGGTGAGATGGTGGAAGACTTCAACTAAGTAGAGAAATGAATAACAAAAACATAAGTTTTTTGGTTTCTTTCCTTGTCTTACTTTATTTATTTATTTTTATTAATTTTTAAAATCTAAATTAGAAACATGGATGCTTCACATGTTAATCCCAGCTCCCTCTCCCACCCCTCCTCCATAGTCCCTCCACCAGTTCCCCCAAGCCCCCCATCCAATCCCCTCATCATTCCCCAGGGAGGGTGAGGCCCTCCTTGGGGGGATCTCCAAAGTCTGTCATTTTATCCAGGGCAGGACCTAGGCCCTTCCCCATGTGTCCAGGCTGAGAGATATAAGTTTTTATGCTAAACTCTACTTCTTCTTTCAAGCCTCATTCCACTTAGAGTTACATATTAATTGAGAAAGTTTCTTTTAAACTAATATTTACCTAGTAGCTTGATACTATATTTTATCCAAGAAAACAAACAGTTTCCTATGATTGAGATGAGAACAGACATGTGATTCAATTTAATAAGAAGTGTCTTGGTTAGAGTTTCTAGTGCTGTGAAGAGACTCAATGACCAGGGAAACTCTTGTAAAGGAAAACATTCAATTGGGGTAGCTCACATACAGTTCAAAGGTTCAGCTCATTAACATTTTGGCAGGGAGCATGGCAGTATGTAAGTAGACATGGTGCTGGCCACATCTTGATCAGAAGGCAGCAGGAAGTGGACTGAGAAACTTGAGCATATATGACACCTCAAAACTCGCCTCTGCAGTGATAAATTTCCTCCAATCAGACCACACCTATACCAACAAGGCCACGCCTCCTAATAGTGCCACTCCTTTTGGGGGCCATATTCCTTCAAACCACCACAGGAAGTGTTCCAGTTCTCACATATTTCTTGAATTTTATAGCTTTGAATGCATGATACAGATAATCTGCGGTTGCTAATTAAAATAACGCT